ATCCATATGCAGTTCCGATATGGGGAACACTGTCAATCAGAGTAGAGGGTCACATAAAAGTTGAAAATGTATTCTTAGTCAGAGAGTTGGGCCTAATTTTGGCTGGTATATATGCGCAAATTACACCCCTGAAAATAGTGACAGATTTTTCAAGGATGGTAAAGAAGCATCTTAGCTAGGAGATAAGGGAATCTGTAGATGTTTGAGACTGCTCCTTAATCTCTGTCTTCCTTGCATTCCTCTGTATTGCTAGAAATAGCAAAGAGGAAAAAAATGTAGGTTAGTACTTATGATGAAGTTTTTATTTTTATTAATTAGATCCCAGGTAAAAAAGTTCTGATTATAGTTGTTCAATTATCTCTGAATTCTGATATCCCCCAAGGTCAGGTACTCTAGCAAGCTGATACAGGATACTGTACGTGCCCGGTCTGAATCCACTTGGATTGTTTCCACTAGTTTTGTCTGCTCATTACCCAGACTTTGTATAATTTCCTGCTAATGACTAGCATCTATGATTTTCCTTGATAACTTGCTTTTGGTCTAATAGAGTTGCCTTACTTGTACATAGACCCTGGGAGTTTGTATCACCCATGGGAGGCCCACAGCTATTGGGGTCCAATGGGGCCCTCCTATGAGACATAGGAAAGCTCAGTTCCCCTGCTTCATGTTGAAATGAACTCTAAATGTAATTTACATGCTAAAGCTTCACCTTGGAAGCAGAACAAAGCTGAAGCCTGTTGTAAAATTGGAAACTTGCCGCTTGGCTTCCTTTTATACTGTAGCCTGCTTTCTCCCATGCTCTGATTTTGGTATCCAGTGGGAGCACTTCCCCAGCAAATCATCTGCACAAGAATCCTCACTTCCATGTTTGTCGCTAAGGAATCTGACCCAAGATTAATCATTCCAGGTTCTATCTGCATGAGAGTTGAAGGGGAGGTGGATTCTACCACTCACATTGAATGTTCCAAAATCTTACTATTTTTCACAAAGTACAGGCAGTCATTTGATATTTCTTGCTGTAATGGATTGTGGTCTTAGACTGAAGACTGAGAGAATAAATAGACCTCTGATATATGTACGTTGCCTGCACAGCTAGCAGGGCCACAGTGGACCTCTGGGAGGTGTCCTGGAAACCCATTTGGCCAATGAAAGCAAAAGAAGCTGGTCTTACTCGTGTTTTAGTGACTTGAATCTTGGACAACTAAACCCGTGCATCTGTGTTTTCATGCTCAAAAAGCAGTGATTCAGCAGAATAGGTCTACATACTAGGATTTGCATCTGATACTTACTGAGGTTTGAGAGGACAAGAGACCACAGGACAGGTTTTTATGATAGCAACTAGGCATATGGTTTAACACCTGGATGCAGGCAGGTAAAGAGTGACAAAGATATCTGCCTCGAATGAAGAAAAGTGTATCACTTTCATATGGATGGAAAGAAGGCAGGAAGATTTAATAAACATATGTGGTCCAAGCTCTTTGGCAGACTTGCACCTCAGTGGGTAAATTTCCAGCTGTCTCTAGATGTCCCCAGGACCTAAAAAAATTCCTTGTCTTATCTTATGTTTTCCACAACACTTTGTGCTTGCTGATGACAGCCTCAGGTGCTGAGCTGAATTTCCTGCAGAGAGTAGTTCTGCTGGCAAGCAGGATGGGGCTGGGAGAGTCAGACCCAGTTGGAGGCTTGCATAGAGGATCATCACAATTATGTTGCAAGATGGATGGACATCAACTTTTGAGTTCTATTTGTTTTTCAGTGCTTTCTCATGCATTATGAAATTTAATCTTTATAGCATAGTCGTGAGATACTAATATTCCCATTTTACAGGCCAGAAAGCTGAGGCTTAAAGAGGTTATGCTACTTGAATTAGGCCACATTTGTTGTAAGTGGCAAAGTTGGGATTTGAGCCCACCTTTGCCTGATTCTAACAACTGTGTGCTTAACTACCCACCAAGATGTGGCTCTAACACTGGTTCTCTTTGCCCTAAAGTGATGAAGGACAGGTTTGTGAACATTTACACAAGACGGTAAACTATATCATTTAGGATACATTTTTCTTTTCAAAAAGAATAAATGTATCGGAAATTGAATTATAGTAAATGAGCCTGATATGCTCTGATACAGATAATATTTTATACAGTGAAATTTTCTCTGTGCTTAATATTTCCTTATTACAAGGTCAGTACGATGATTATTGGTTTATGCACAAGGTAAAAAATTATCCTTTCTTTACAGTCCTTGTAATCTTCATTTGACTTAATTCTTTCATCCGCTAGAGTTTCTTTTCTATTTGGGTACTGGCTAGGGTTGTTATTAGGATGGAATATTTTGTGGTTTCTCCTTTCCATCCCCAACCTCTTTTTTTTTTTCGCTTTAGATCCAGAGCCATGAAGACTGCAGAACTATTTTTGTTTTGTCCAGTTCCCTCCAGGATTAAAAAAATATGCTTATTCCTGAATTCTAGCACTTTTTGCAGACTTGAAGTGGATTATGAAAGCAGTTTTAGATGACAACTTTCTAAGACAAAGAAGAATATACTCTCTATTTTGATATAAGATACATGTTCATATTTTAGCTTAAACAGTGAAAGGAGACCACAGGCTTCTTTCTTAAAAATTTAAAATGTCAGTTTTTAGCAGCAAAAAAATAAAATTTGAAAGTTGCTGCAAAAGAATTGATTTCCACTTTCATTTAGAACTAGTTCCAGGAGCTGGGCCTGGTGGTGTATGTCTGCTATCTCAGTACTTGGGAGGTTAAGGCAGGAGCCTGGGCTACATCGTGAGTTCAAGGCAAGCCTGCGCTACATAATGAGATCCTGCCCCCCAAAATAAGCAAATGAATAAAAAATCTAGGCCCAAAGTTTAGAGCAAAGCATTCTTTGAACCTGCCTTGTTTGAAAGAAAATATATGAAAGTGTTTTAACTGTGAAAAAGCCCCAGGTAAATGCTACTGAGGAAATAAAATGCTAAGTATGGAATCACAAAACTGGGAAAAACCTTTGAGAATATCTAATCCTGCCCCCATCTTCCAGTGAGGAACAGCTAATTCATCATTTATGGGTACTCTATTTTAATAGGATTTATACAGCTACATTTTTCACCTTTTGTGCCTGTTACATCAATACCTAACAAAACACCTGGCACCTTCAATATTTCACAGAGCTCCCTAAAATGAGTGAATATATCAAGAAGCAAAAAATACCAAGAGATAAGTGGAAAATTTGTTTGGGCTTTTTACTGGGTGTTGTTAGTTAATAAAATTGAAGCACCTTATACCCAAGTTCAATGTTTTTGCAAACTGTATTCATTTCACATTGCTTAATGTGGATTTTGTCCTCAGTCAACAAGGTGACCATGTTTTATATATTTTAAAGAATGCTCCCTTGGAAAGAGAAATGGGTGTTATTAATAATTACACCAAGAAAAGAACTGCACTGAGAAAACTGGAGTTAATGCCTATTCCTTAAAAGAACAAGGGTCTAGGAACAGGTAAAAATCTCTGTAAAATGGGCTCTAAGTTAAGCAAGAGTTTTAAGTCAAATGAAGATTTAAAAGGATATCACTATCAATGCTTTCACTGTGTTTTGTTTGTTTATTTGTTTTGTTTGGTACAGGGAATCCAACTCAGGACCTTGCACTTGCTAGGCAGACGCTTGGACCATTGAGCTACATCCCCATCACATTAATGCCCTAAGCACTCTTTCCTCACCATAGCTTTTAAAAATGGGCCAAGTGACAAAGACCCCTTTCCAATAATTTAGAAATAAGGTAAAATTAAACTCTTAATCTGAAATTGGGTTGTGAGATCACATGTCCAAGTTCTGCAATCTCCATGACCTATCACAAACTCCCTTCACCCTTTATTCCTGCCTACCCATTTACAACTTCCGGAACTATATACTACTTCCGGTCCCATGAGCAGCAGGGCTTCCATTAGCGCCCGCCATCTTGTCCACTTGCCATGAATGCGCATAGCAGCCAAAATTACTCCACCCAGGTGGAGGGTGCCTTGGAGTGCCTTATCAACATGCATCTGCAAGCCTCCGAAATCTACATCTCTCTGAGCTTCTACTTTGTAAGTGACCTTGTGGCTCAGAAGGACGTGGGCCACTTTTTCTGCGAATTGGCTGAGAAGAAGTACATGGGTGCCCACCGTCTCCTGACGCTAAGGCAGCGTGGTAGCGAGGTTCTCTGCCAGGCTGAGCAACAAGTGCCCCACAATGGGTGGTGCAGCAATGTAGATGCCATGGAAGCTGCTCTATCCCTGGAGAAGAGTATAAATCAGGCCCTTACAGAACTGTATACGCTGGGCTGGTCCAAAGGAGATTGCCGTCTCTGCGACTTTCTGGTGAGCTACTTCTTAGAGGAAGAGATAAAAGTCATCCATATGATCTGCTACCACTTGACCAATGTCCAGCGGCTGGCCGGCATGGAGGCTGACCTGAGCGAGTCTCTCAGTAAACTCAGCCTCAATCCCAATTAGAAGATGGCGGAGCCCAGCCGCCATGGAAGGGCTTCTTTGTTTTTTCCTGACGTTCGGATTTATGCATGAGCCTCTCCGTCTCAGTTTTTCACGACCCAGAAGCACATAACCAAACTGTTCTAAATGGAAATTAAAAAGTTATGTTTACAGAAATAAATAAGCAAGGTGGAGAGAAGGAAAACGTATTCAAAATAACATGAAGAATTCGCAATCCGTTTAATTCTTTAGACTTTCTAATTAAACTGTTCTCAACTTTTCTGAGTCACCTGTGTGATTTGAGGATCTGGTAAGCTATATTTTTTCTGTCAAAAAAAGGGAACACATCTATTCATAAATATTGTGTGCAATTTTCATGGTTTTGTAATATCTGTGAAGTCAGTCAGGGAACTAGATTAAACTCTAAAATTTTAGTGTGTTTGATTGTGCCTACCAGAGCATAGAGTTAACAGACTGGACTATGTGATATTGTACCCTGTACCCCTCAAAGTTGTAGTAAAATTGTTTTACTTGGTTTTCAGATTGATACAATGCTATCTGCCTATTCAGAGAACACAAGAAGAAGACGAAGCCCTGTGAAATTCACCTCTGAGTCTTCTGTTACCTTGAAACTGAGAACATGGAGGATTACATCATTTACTGACCTCTTTATGAAGCTTCTCAAGAGAAACTTCAGTCTGGTCTTAATATTAGAAATAACAGTGCTTCCTTCACTTGAGTAACCGGTTTGTTTTTGTTTTATGGGCAGTAAATGAAGTAACTAATTAAATTTCCTCTTCTGACCATCTGCTAGAAAGCTTAAGTTTAAATTTGTAGTCAACCCAGAGTAAAAGAGTAGTATTGCATAAACATTTTTGTGTAAGCTTCATTCTTGGCTCGTCTGTTACTAATTTCTTGATGTATGTTATGGTTCTTTTCAGCCACTTTAAACTCTTTCTGGAACAAGCCTGTTCACAAATAGTTGATAAATGAACTTATGAAATGTAGAATAAAATAATATTGCAGTTTATTTTGTAGAAAAGGGAAGATAATTTTAAGGATGCACTAAGAGAGAAAAAGTGATTAGAATAGAGTTGGGTCAAAGGGAGGTTAAATTCCGGAAGCCAACAGAAAAGTAGGAAAATGTAGCATTTTATACAATATATGTCCCTGCAAATAACAACAGTATAGGTATGTATTGTTTTCCTTCAACTTTGGAAAGCTAGAGTTTTAAGTCTTTCTCAAACCACATAAGTAGAAAAAAATATTTTTCTGCAGTTCTTTTCCCTCCAGAAGCAGGAAGACTAAGCACATAATATCACTTCTTTTATACTATAAAAGGTCAGAGACATAGGAAAAATACTTTGCAGAGATTGGAGCAATTGTTTTGCTTAGTTAAGGAGAAAACCTTATCGTCCTGTTTTTGCAAAGTCTTTTGATAACAAAAACAAATATACTAGAAATGTTCTTCCTGGGGAAAGATTTTCCCATTTGCTGATAGTTGACAGTACAAGGTATAGAGAGACAGTTCATTGTCTTCACATTTGAATTAAAAACTCATACTTCTGTACTTAAAATACATATTTGAAATAGAAATTATTTTCAAATTAACATCCAAATATAAATACAAATTTGAGGACTAAAAAAATAATCTAATTACTATAACATCTTTTGAAAGACTGTACTCTGAAGTAGATTATTTAGAAAGAAGGATGAGAAAATTGTTTCCAAATAATGGCAATATTTCTCAAACTATTAAAACCTCCCAAATAAGATAAAATATTCTTTGGTCATCTAATGATTGAAAAATTGCATTTTTCTGGGCAGAGAACAAATGATTCAAGGACATGATAAAATATTAGTTTGACTACTGGAAATGACTTCAATGTATTTGGCAAATACATTTGTGGGAAAATGAGAGTTTCATGACTTTAAATGTCCAGAAATTAAGTTGAAAGCAAGTCCTATGGTGATACTAAATTATAATAAATGATTATAATAAATGATTCTTGAAAGCTCTGACAGAATTCCTTATACCAGCCTTGAAGGCCCTCCTTGGTTTATTATATCTAATTTGCCTTTTAAATTGAATTTTCTATTATTTTCCTATTTTTTGGGGGGGTTTTAGAGATCTTAAGGGTAGCAATTGCTTATCCTTCCTTTCATCCAATTTTTAATCAATTAAAATAGGAAGGCAAGATTGCTTTGCTGATGATAAGGCTAAATTGGAGAAAGTGTGAGGACTTCAGACTGCTGCACCTTAAGTCAAATTAAACCACTTTATTCCAGGAAGAGAAGCCAGGGCAGAGAGAGCAAAGAGCAAGCTCGACTGGCCAGAAGGAAGATCAGCTTTTTCAGCTAACCCCATGGAGACTCAGGAGAAAGTGGTGGCCCAAAAGAACTGGTCAGGACATGGGAATTAATTGCCTTGTCACTGCAGTGACCTATGTCCTGGCCGGTGTGTCCCAATAGATATCAGGCTGTCAGAGTTCTCCACATGTACCTCCATATCCCACTCTCAGTGGATTTCTCTTTCAAAGAAGTGTGAGACTTAGGAGATAAAGGTCTCTAAATGATTGTGGGAATTCTCTGTCATAGCCAGCTGTAATAAGCGCTTGTAATGTTCATGGGGTTGCCCTCACTTGGAAGGCTTTCCATAACCCCCTTCACAAATCAAACACAGTCAAGTTCAAACCTGCCTTGTGTGACATTTTCCCTGACTAACCCAATCCAGTCATCTGGCATGGATTTGTCTTCTCTGAGTCGTTTTATGGGATCTATTAGACTAGGCAAATTGAAAACTGGAAGGCAGGTAGCATAGTGGTTGAGCAATGGGCTTTGGGCAAGAGCACCTGCGTTTAAACCCTGCCTCCACTGTTGACTCAGATTCTTAACCTTCATTAGCTTCATCTGGAAAACTTGACATTATCATAGTAATGATACTTCCCAACTGAAACAGTAGTGAAGATTAAATGAGATAAAACATGTATAGTCCTTAAATCATGCCCACTCTACAATAAGTACACAATAATGCTAGATATTTTTATCAACTAACTTTTTATTTAAGCTATACTGGTAACATTTCTAAATAAGCTGGATTTTCAGTTTCAGGAAAAAGATAACTAGATTCTAGAATATCACTTAACCATGCTTCCCTTTAAATAGACCCTATGTGTGGAAGTATATATAGTTTGGGAATTTGCACATTTTATGGAGGAGATGTTCATTGAGTAGGAGAGAAGAAAAAGCAAGAAGGATGACCATTCTCTCTTCAGCCAAATAAGTTGAACTACACTATTTAGGACCTAGATTAATTGTTTTAATTATCACACTGCTAAAAGCAAGCATGACAGTATTTTAACCTCTCAGGAAGGATGAGCTGCACGAAGGGGTCATTTCAGAGCTGAAACTAATTAACTGCTGGCTGCTGCTCTTTGAATAGCTGCCAATTTTTGGAAATCTCCACCCACTCTTTTCTCCCACATATATTTCTCCTTTTACTTTGTGGTAGCCTTAGATATATGCATAACTGAAGAAGCAGGAACTGAATAGATACAGGCAGAACTTCCAACATCATGAGACCTTGAACACCTTTTAATTAGGGTCTGTAAAGCACTTGTTTTGGATTTCTCTGTAGTTTGTGTTTTCTCTCTGGAAAGTTACAGATTCAGAGACTAGACAACTTATTTTGAAGGAGATGAAAATAATGAAATAAAAGTAAAAAGTTAAAAAACTAGAGGTGTGGAATGTTTTTACTATACTCATATTATTTTGTATATCACTTCCAGCCATTTATCTGCTTTGATGAGTAATTTATTCACATAATAGTAATGAACCAGCCACTACTCCATGAGTATGTGAGTGGAGGCACATTAATTAATAAAAGCTCTCAGTGCAGAGCCAGGGATATAGCTCAGTGGCATAAGCACTTGCCTGGCAAGTGCAAGGTCCTGAGTTCGAATCTCATTACAAAAAAATAAAAAGGCTTTCAGTAAAGTACTCTAAAAAGCAGGCATTCTTGGTGTAGGGACAAGGGTCCACAGATAATAAAATAAAATAAATAGGGGCCTCCTTAGGTGGTCTAGCTAATCTGGACTAGCAGTTAAAAGCAAACTTTATTAGACAAATTCCACTGGAAAATAAGTCAAAGATGAGTAGAAAAATGCGGGGTAAAAAATGAAAAAAAGAAACCAGATATAGACACCAAATGGCCCTGGTACTTTGATCAAAAGACCAGAAAAAGAGCTGACAGGGAAGACACAAAAGAAGCCAAGTTCACAAATGATAGGACATCACCACCTCCAAAAAACAGGGAAGCAAAAGGGAGGGGTGACTAAGGCAGTATATACTCACACCTATGCACTAACATATACACACATTTACATGTATGTATCTTATTCACTCCGGTCATTATAGAGTACAACGGATATCCACATACCTTCTTTGCTAACTCTAAGCTAACCAAAAGTAAGGCACCCCCTTAGCAACTAGGTACCACCCCAATATGAGGCCTTAAAAAATAGGCCAAGGCAAAAAAAAAAAAAAAAAAAAAAAAAAAAAAGAGAGAGAGAGAGAGAGAGAGAGCTACGCATAGACCACTGGAAGAGATGACATTAGGCAGAGCTGTCTGGCAACCAATCCAGTTGTGGCAAGTTCCAGATGGAGGAAAAAGAGTCACTCACCCTCCTAAAATAACACCTAAAAACACAGGAACCATGGGTCCTCCATCTTTGCAGATCCCCCTACACATGGTTCTTTTTTTTTTTTTAACAAAGTAGTTAGCTGCTTTCTTTCTCCCCCTTACTTTTTCCTCTTTACAAATAAAATGTCTTCCTTTCTTTAAACTTTGTCCTTCTAGTTTATTGTAGGGACTGAATTACAATCCTGGTGGGCTCTTGGACAGCAAAACAACAGTGCTTGTCTCCCAGATACAACATCAAGACTTTAGCAATTTAATGATTATTTTAGAAATCATAAGAGGAAGCAGGAAAAAAGTATAAGTTCTTGAAAAAGACCTCAAAGGCTCCAATTATGTACAATTTCAGGTCAAAGTAGGGGAGAAATGGGTAGAGCCACTATTCTGGGACTTAAAATCAGTCCTTTATTTTTGCCAGAAATTCACAGCTGAAACTCACCATGAGAAAACATCATACATATCCACTTTATTTAACAAAGTAACTAGCAATAATGTCAGGGCCAAGAAAGGGAGAGAAAGAATGAAGAACTGACCTAGGTTAAAAAGGACTACACAGCGTGACATCTAAGTGCATGAGTCTGGACTTGAACAGGGTAGGGGGAAAAGAATTATGAAGACTATTGAGATATTTGATGAAATATGCGTATGAAACACAGATTGTAAAACAATATTGTAGAGGTAAGTCTCGTGATTTCGATAATTGCATGTTAGTTAAGTAGGAGAATGTCCTTGCTTTTCAGAAAATGCACACTGAAGTTCTGAGAAGTAACTAGACAAAATATCTCCAATTTGCAAAGATTAAGAAAAACAATTTGTGTAAAGGATAAACAGCACTTCTTGTACTATTATTGCAAGTTTTCTGAAATTTTGAAATGATATCTAAATGAAAATAGTACCAAAAGCTCAGTATTCAGTTAATTTACTGGATTGGACTCAGTAATTTAACCAACTGGACTCAGACACCAATAGCCATACTTTGTCTTTATCTGGAAACTGCTATACCCCTTTTTGTTATTAGAGGTTGAAATTCTGTCAGAGAGGATTTTTTTAAGGTAGTGATTATTTACTATCCAGATTGTGAGTTCTTTAAGGATAATGATTTTCTTTATTCATCTGTGTAACTTTTTCTTCTAGCATGGTGCCTTAGACTAAGTAGTCAAAAAGAGAATGACTT